AATACAATTTACGTAATCTTACGGCGGTCTCGTAAGTTTTCGTAATATTACAGAACGTAAGTTTACGCAATATTACGCCCTATTAAATTTACTGATGAAGCAACTATATTTGGATAATTTAAATTATTATGAAAAAGTGACAGAAATTATTTTATATTAGTGTGTGTCAGATTTTCTCAGTATTGTAAGTTATAAGAATAAATATAATCTTTATTAATACCTTAAATTAAGTGAATTGATGAGAAATAATCCATCTTTAAACCAATAACAATTTATGGCATATTTATACTTCAAAGTCACACAAAATATCTAAGAAAATCGAAAATGAAAGTGATGTAATTAATCAATTGTTTTTAATATTGTACTTTCGATCAATTTTTTTATGGTATAAATAATATAACTTTTTTTTAATTTCGTTTATTTTTGGTTATCAACTTCAATTATACAATTCTTTAAGAAATCCATTAAGTTTTAAATTATTGATACTTATTCGATTTATTGATTTAAATAACAAAAAGAAATTTATTTTCATCAAAGGAATATCGTTAATTTATATTTTAAAACCTTGACAAAAAATCATCTTATAAATAGATTTCTTATTAAAAAAAATATCTTTTAACAGCAATTTTATTTCCATTGATTTTTAACAATCTCATTTATATTCTCTATTTCAAGTTTTTTTTCATCTTTAGAAACTTCCACATTGGGCTTATTTTGATCTCCACCTTGTTGATGCTTGCTATGTTTTCCAACTGGCGGGAAAATGATACCATCCTCAAAACAATCCAAATTGATTTCATAAAACGTGTGTCTAAAAGGATCGGTACTACTATCGCAATTAAACTCAACATTCAATCCGTCCGTGAGATCGTAGAGTGTGCGATTGCAACTATCAACGATTTTAAATTTAATATCGCTGGTTTCATTAAAGATCTCAAATCCACGGCTGAATATTCCTGTAATAGTTGTGCTACCGCATTCGTCCTGTGAAAAGAAGAAGAAACCTTTATATGAAGATTTGAAAATCACTTCGGCGATCGTACATTTACACACTTTGTCTTCATTTTTTTATTCAAAGCATTTCTTTTAAAATTATATAGGCACACGTCGGTTCTTTTTTCAAGGTTTATTGGTTCATTATTAATGGAAATTGTTGTCGTAACAGTAACGAATGCAAAGAAAACAACAAAAATTGTAAATTGCAATTTTGCTATTATAACATTTATTTATTTTTTTTGTGAATTTTATAAATGATTATGATTGAGGGAAGACAGTTTATTTAAATAACTTTTTAAATAACTTAAATTAACAAGTTTCTGTACTTCCTATGATTTTACTTTTTGTGGCTGTTTTATGGCTTATTTAATAGTGATTAGATTCAGATTAATTTGTACAAGGAAATGAAGTGACTCTGCGCCGTACAGAGCACAGCAAAAAAAATAATAAGAACTTTTACCAATCATTTAAAATATCAGGCTTCCTATCTAATAAAATACTAGGTCATATCTGAAGGGTAACATATAAATGAATCCGTTCAAAAGCTCAAAAAGAATAATACTTGAAAAATTTATCACAGAAATTTTGAATGGTATTTACAATGTTTTTATCATTATAATTATTATATTTCAGATTAAAACTTCACGAGTCATCGTCAATTACTCCACAGCTAATACATAGTAGTGCAAACAAATGGATGAATTGCCTAATTTTTAACCGGTTATTAAGCCATTTTCTACCTATATACATGTAGCTATTAAATTACTCGAACAGCCGTGGGAATAATTTAATAATTTTCAACAAATTATCAAAACTGGATAGCAGGCACTATTATTTTGGGCGATTAGCGAATTCTTTTAAATCACAAGTAACTATTTTATGAGTCTTTTTGTTCAAAAGTCCGGGATTCAACCCGGATTATTTTTGGTTAAACTCTGGATGATCCTAAAAGATCATCTGTGTAAGAATACTTTTTTTTCGCATTTCAATGAGGTTTTATCAAAATTAATCTGAAGTTAAATCCTGAACGCACTTGAACAGGATGGCGTTTCATACTATTTTGCAACATGACCTGGGTCACCATTTTTTCGAAATGACTTTGTCATTAGGTCACTTCACTAGATTTTAAGACAGAAATATGATACATAAATTTATACTGTATATTGTGACTTAGGTAATAATCATATTCTTTATGTATATTGTAAATTTTTGACAGAAACTTTTTTTGTTGGTAGTTATTATATAATCAAATGTAACGTTTGTTAGAATAGAACAAAATTACATTAGCTTTCCTTCTTCATTGAAATTATAAACTTGATATCCATACCATACAAGCAAATCGAAGATTTCTAATTTAACGAAAAATTGGTACTAAAAATAACCATTCACTTATTGTCAATATATATATTATCATTTTAATCACACTTAAAGATAAAACTATTCAATTCATTCTATTATATTTTCAATACTTTCAACATTCTACCAAAAATATGTTATTTTCTTCATAAGTAATAAGAAATCCCTCCATCAGGTGAATCTACCATTATGGGAGATAGCATATCATTAATAAACATTTTAGAATTAAAATTTCTTGAGAAAAATTACGGGATGGGTAATAGCTTCTTTTTGGTAGGCAAAATTAATAAATTCAGTTTATTTCATGTAATTCACCAATCAAAAACTAAAACTGTGTTGCAGACATCTTTATTAAGGCCGTTTTCAAACACCTCACTCAATGTGTTGGCTAGTGGTTGAAATAAAGATGGCAATCAATGCTTGATCAATCTCTTTCACTCGTTTTATCAATTATTAATTATGTCTTAGAAAAAGAAACCTAAAACAGCTTCTAGAACCTACTCCTACTACTCACATCTCTTCTTTTTCCAACCTAACTAAGAATGTATCATTGCTACTCAACTTTTACATGTCCTTTAAATGAATGGCAATTCTTTAAATGAAACAGCAAGATATCCGGTTGTAGCTCCAGTTTTTTTAACAAATGATCATCGCACTTAATTTTTAGTCATTCAGATCATTCAATAAACCATTAAGGAGAGTACCTATATCTCATGACTTACTTGATTTCACTGGAAACGTTCCTATATGCATAAGTGACATATGTGGCTGAGTAATTAATTATTGATTAATAGTCTAACTGAAATGGTTAAAATATTTCATTATTTATACTGTAACTTCATAAATCATTACCGAATAACTTCGCTGTTTCTTTGAGAAATGCATTGATTGGTGGATTTTGCATGAATGACCTGTGAAGTTAATAATTAAAAAAAACTGATCTGAAAAATAAATATAATGAAATTATGGCTGATTCAAATCTGTCACCCTTCCGTTGTGGCTGTAAACTAATATCTTATCAGATAGATAGCTGGCATCAGATTATGACTTAAATAATAAATAGGTAAAATAATCATATGTTCTATGCAAGAGAACCGACTTCTTTTTCCTTAAAATCATCAACAAGCTTATGGTTTTATTCCAGTGTTGGATAATTGGACAATTTTAGACAGTTTTGTACAGGTTTTGGACACTATTTCATATGTCTAAAACCTTGTCAAAATTAAATAATGTATCCAAAATCCATCACTACTTTATTCTTTCTTTTGATCTAACCTCAACATTAGATATGAGAACACACAGCCGATTTTGTTTTCATCATATAAAACAATGTAAACTAAATAATTAATTCATTATATATTATGCTAAATATCTATTTTGAACTTGTTTGTTAGGTCTAAAAAAAATTTTAGGTTAAAAATTCTTTTAAAAAGTAAAATTGCAATTTGTGATCATAACTTCTGTTACGAGAACAACATCCATTAAAGATGAATCAATATACCTTAAAAAAAGAACTGACACGTGTCCATATAATGATAAAAGAAATGTTTTAAGTATAAGAAATGAAGACAAGGTTCGAAAGATGAAACGATCTTCAATTCTTCATTTAAGGGTTTCTCATTCTTTTCATATAACGCATATGGTAGCACTACCATTACATTAAATGTTTAACCGGTATTACCTTAAATTGTTCGTCGTTAAGTTAACTAGGATTATTTGCTAACAGGAAGTTTAAGTGCGTCTAAACTATAGAAGAAATAAACACGAATTAATTATGTTGAAGGGTCAGGTCTTCTTTATTAATATAGATTTAAAGAAGTATGAAATTGTATATTGAGCAAAGATATAATTGTTAAGAGATAAATATTATTGATTTATT